GTAACTTATTTTGTCATTTCATTCATATTCCATGAAAAGGAAGTCAAGAGTTATTCAAATCACAGTACATGAGAGTGATAGTTTAAAAATCCTCTCATGACATATAATATTTAGAAAATTACTCAAACTTGTTGCCATGACATCTGGCAAACATAGAAAAAAACAGGAATGGTTAACCAAGGTTTTTTAAGAGATATTCAAAGAAAAATGGTTGTCAATATTTGAAATCGATATTTTTCTACACAACTTCCATGAGGCACTGTTATGTTAAACTGCTTTAAAGAAGAAGCAGTGGAGGAGAGGCATTGAAATGGTCTTCCCTTGCTGATTTATAAGTAAACATTTTGTATCAAAGAGATAAATATCCATTGATACGCCATACAACAGGGAAACAAAATACTAACAGAAGGAGATAGGAAATGCAATCTTAGTAGAAAGTGGTTTTAGACATATATTAGCCATAAAATAAGTTGAAGCCAGTAAAGTTGAGGCCAGGGCGCAAACTTTCTCAACACATTCAGCTCTTTCAGATCTATTCCACCGCAATCTTTTCAGTTGATGGGACTTTTATGTCTGCTGGGGAAAAATAAAAAAGTCCTCTCCAACTATTATCTGCGCTCATCGTCATAAAAGTAACGATGTCTTCCAGATGACTTAAGCACAACAGCACACACCATTATTCATGCATCCAACAAAATGCCTTTCATCATTGCGCTAAAGGAAAAAAGATTAAAGAAAGCATAGACAATTGTCAAACAGCTGATAGAAAAAAATTAAACTGCTAGTGCAGAGCGACAGACCTGTAAACCAGTGTATCATCTCCAGAGCTGTTGTACTGGACCTGGAACATCCTGACTCCAGATGTAGGGGTTTGACTGATCCACCTAATGAGGGCAGAGTTTCCTGTCAGCTCCACCAACGAGACCCTCCTGTCTGCCCCTCTTGTCTCGTTGTTTGGAAGCGCAACCTTGGAGGAGGTCAGGATGTCAGAAGGCGCTGGCTCAGATGAGGGATCTCGGCTGCGGCTTGTGCTGTTTGCCAGATGAGGCACGGCAGTGACAACCAACTCCACCCTTCCCGTGGATTCCCCTGCTGTGTTGGAGGCGATGCAAGTGAAGTTTCCGGAATCTTTCAAGGAGGTGACATTGATCTCCAGGCTTCCATTGGGGAAAACTAACGTTCTAGAAGAATAAACATGTAGATAATAAGGAGTTGTGTGAAGTTTTTGAGTCTTTCGAGTTTTTTTTCCCATAAATGTGCTTATTTGATCCATGGAGGATTTTTCTTTGTCCTATGACCCAATTTAGTTCTCACTTTCATAGGAAAACTTACTGAAATGCTTGTTTTATAACTGTATAATCTCTGTTCAAATATAGAAGCATATATAGCACTGAAGCAGAGTCAAACCAAGAGGCACCCTCTCTTTTATTCCTGCTGACATATTGACATTGCAAAATGAGCTTCTGAAAATCTTAAAACTGAGGTGACTTTTGCAAGAGGTTTTATTCAAAGCGAAGTAAAACTGGATTTATAGGTAGCTTAAAATAAGAAACTCTTACAGAAGCAGGTATAAAAAAACTACGTGAGTCACAATCCTGGATATTTCAAGTAAAGGGTACAATTAGTAATGAATTCTAAAATATTCTAATGGATTTTTTCAGATATATCAGGATTGTTACTGTAGGTGTTGAGACACCATAGCATAAAACACAAAACGTGAGAAAGCTAAGTTATCAGATGAAAATAGGATAAAGGTGTTGCAGTATGGGTGAAGAGACTCTGACCTCAAGAACTATCATCAAATCCAATTTCAGAGGTGGCCCACACAAGTCAAATGTTTACACCCTTCTACTACAGTGAAGGAAAAATGTAGGATTGTACATTTGACTCAGAGGCCCGCTGTTACATGCTCAGAGCCTGAGCTGTGAGGAAAAGAATTTAAACATTGTCTGCTCTACTGGCAGTGAGCTGACATCACTGAATTTAAAAGGGTGCTCTTACTAGGCAAGTCTAAAATAATACTAGACCTTTGATACCATCAGAGGCATAGTCACAGAGAGTACATTTTTTTTCTGTTCTTTAAACTCTATCAAAGCGCCATAGTTATACCTGGAGCCATTAGATATAAGCCGTCCCTCAGGGCTTATCCAGTGGACTTCGGGCTCTGGGTCACCATTGGCCTTGCACTTCAAACTGGCATGCTGGCCTTCAATAGCCATAGTCTGAGGGGACTTACGGGTCAAAACTGGCGGGTCACAAATAAACTCCTAAAGACCAAGACAGACAATAAAACAAGCAAGCGTAAATTGTTGTGTCAGATTTCCAATGTTGAAAGGATTTAGGGGAATTGAGAAGCTCAAACCTCTTCAGGGATTGTCCAGAAGTACTTGGCACTGAGGTCAGGAGGAGAGGCACATGTCTCCAGGTCATCTTCTCTGGTTAGTCTCCTCAACCACAGAAGTTCACAGTTACAGTGAAGTGGATTCCCACCAAAACTCAACACGAGCGAGGATAGCGGGGAGCCTCTAGACTTGGCAAATACTGGGATTCTCAGAAACAACGGGTCAGGGGGAATTTTCTTCAACTTGTTGGACGTCATGTCTAGCCTGTTAAAGGACAATCAAGAACGACAGTGGGAGGGAAGAGCAAGAGGAGAATAGAGACATTAAACGCATATCTTTTCCCCATTCTCAAAACAATTCATGTGCTTGTTTGTCTGCAATTACCTGGCTAGTTTGTGTAGATTCGTGAATACTCCCTGGGGAACATTCTCTATGAGGTTATGGTCCATATTGAGAGTATTGACATTGGTTAGGCGCCCAATTGTGTCCCAGGGTACCTGGGCCAGGTTGTTGTAACTGAGGTCTAGATCCTCCAATGTGGACAGGAAGTCATCAAAGGCATGGCTAGATATTGAGTGAAGCTGGTTACTGGCCAGGATCAGATGGCGAAGGTTAGTCAGTCCTTTGAAATGGTCATCCTGATTGTTGAAAAGGCAAAAAGGCAGTAAGAATCAGTCAGTACTTTATGATGACAATAATGTCTCAGCTGCATCTACTGTACTCGTGGGTGTTCTTATGCCTTAGTGATATATTCCAACTTAGTATTCATTACCCATTCCCCATTATAAATTCCATTCTGTCTTACCTTGATCACAGTTAATCTGTTAGAGTCTAGGTGGAGAGCTCTCAGCCGCCGCAAGTCACTGAAAGCTGAAGGAAGGATTTGACTGATGGTGTTTCTTGACAGTGTCAAATGTAACAAACTGGTCATGTTGGCAAAATCTTTCCTTCTGACAGCTGTGAGAAAGCAAAATAAAAAGATAGGAAGAATTCACAAACAGTCTAAGGCAGCTTTATATACATGTAGTAACAAGTAGAAATGTAACACATATGCTAAATGAACAACCCTCATGTTCCTTTTTCTAGCACCAGTAAAAAGAGAAAGAAGAAAAGTTACCAACTGAAACATAGGCAAACAATAATCATAACATGTTATGTTCATTCTGATTCTGATTCTGAGGTAAAAATTCATGTGTGAAATTCAAATAACCCTGAATGTCAATAACTGCTTTCTTTATTCTTTGACACAGCTAGACACCTCAGTTTGTGAGAACTCTATCACATCCACATTTTTATTTATAGAGGAACTACCAATTATTTGTGGGGTTAAAAGGTCAGTCAAGAGTTATCAATCAGTGGTTGCTGAAATCATATGTAGAGTTATTTCTGTGTTCGTAGATAGAGCTAACTTTTATTAGTATTCAGGGTTGTGAATAAGTGGAGGCAATTCAAAATCATTGTAACTTTCTCAGGAGTTAATCAAACTAACATTTGATAAGTAAAATAGCTTTTTGAACTCGGAAGCATCCCTTACTTTTGTCTTTTGTTTTGATGAAATATGGAATATGGATCTAATAACGATTTGGATTAAAATAAAAGCAACACTATTACTTAAGAAAAAGCATTTAACCAAAAGAACTCTGATATAAAGGAGATGAGCCGTGAATTCGATTATCTGGAATGAAACCAATTTTAGAAAAAACAAAAACATATATTTGTATAAAAAATCTGAAATCAAAGGAGAAATAATAAGTCTTATGAGAGAAACTTTTTGAGAGAACAGAATAAGGAGATATTTGACTTAAGTCAAAATATGTATTCATTGTTGGGAAAATTTTCCATCAAGTGTGAGATTAGGTAAACAGGCTGCCAATTGTCAACAAGTTGCTGATTTTGTTTCAGTAAAAAGAAAACATTGTTATTTGAGTTTCTGTGATATACCCAAATAAATGGGAAGCCAGGCAGACTAGCGGGGATGATACCTGTGATGAAGTTCTCTTGAAGCCTTAGTTCCACAGTGCGTCGATCAATGGCAGCAGGAACAAAGAGCAAGCCTGTCTTGGAGCACAGGATAGCGAGCGATGGAGAAAGGCTCTGGCACATGCAACGTTTTGGACACGGCTGTCCCCTACATGCTGCTGCCAGCAACAGCAACGAAAACCACAGCCGTTCCATTATCCTCAACGGGGAACAGGGCAACTGGAAGGAAGCAAGAATGGAGCAATGAATTAAGGTAGAAAAAAAACAAGGTAAGTCACGGACAGGCAGATCACTTTTTCCCTAAAATAGACATAAAAGTTTGTCTTTGGTAGCTTGGTAAATTAGTCAGATTTTGAATTTCATCACAGTTGGTCATTTAAAAAAGAAAAACATCCCTTACAGTAAGGAAGCTGAGACTCTCGCATGCATATATATATATATAATTGAAATATATAACTGAGAGATAAATTAGTATGTAATTTTCTAATTTGAGAGACTTGTTTGCCCTGTAAAACCAGTGGTTTTACTTAAATACT